TATTTATATATGAAAACTCTTATGTACAATTGTATCAAATACTTTTCTCTTTACACAATAATCCCTTGCATTTATGTGCTTCATATGCAAGTCAACTTTTGAACGCTTCATACTTCTCAGGGAAGTTTTAAACTATGTACAAACAGATGACGCTCGAACAGGAGTTTGTTCCCCATACAAGCTTGTTTCTCATACCTCAGTCGTTTGCCTTTGACAGGTCATCAGTTCAAGATTTGAGGTAGAAGTAAGTAGCCTATATACTCTGTGCAAAAAAAAATTTTAAAAAAAAAAATAATAGTGTGTTTTGTTAATTTGCACATGGCAGTCTGTCCTCTCAGTCCAGCGATCTGTTCGGTGGCTTCAGCTCATGAACGGAGTCGCACGGCTTGGGCGCGTAACCGTTGGACAGGAGCGCCTGCTTCACTTCTGCTTCGCTCTGCAAATCCAGTAGTGTTGGGGAAATTTCAGGAAGCACGTTCAGTTGCTTTAAGGACCCTCCTGCTGGTGAAGCTCTCACCAAATTAAGGTTGTTAAGCTCTGAAGGTTTTGCTACTGCTGGTGAAGAGCCTGCAAAAAACCCAAAGAACCAGCGTGGTTAGTTGATGCTCAGCCTGCCAGCGCTCCTCATAAAACCAACCCTGCCCCTATCATTCATGCCCCTGGGCCAGTTAAAAAAGCTGATGGGAGAAAACAGGGCTGTGATAGAACCCAGATGGTATTATATTGCATCTCGGGAGAAAAAGATATCCCCAAGGAGACGTGTACCGTGTTTGTCTGCAAGCAGCGGGCTGGTCGTGCTCTCAGGTCTTATTCTGTCGTGGTTGCTGGGGTAGAGGGTCCCGTCTGTTTCCATCCTCTTGCTGCTGGCAATCCCGTTGCACAGCTGAGGATGAAGAAGGCTGGTGCCTGCACCCCTCTTCCTATTTCGTTCCTTGTTGCTCAGTGCGTTTGGGTAGGTATTATCCATAGTCTTCAGGCTCTCCGAGTAGTACTCCGACTCCTTGGGGTAAATGTGGACGTTCATGCTGTCCGTGCTGCCACTGCAGTCCGTGCACACAACTGGCAGGCCGTAGCCTGTAAGGGAGGAAGGGAAAACGGCAACAAAGGAAGATTAACCAGCTGGAAATTGTCAGCACTGAAGCACACAACTTGCGGAAGGAAAAGGCGGCTCTGCTTAGTTCATCTGTCCCTTGGCAGTGTGGGAATCTCTCGCTAAATAACATGAACGTTTCTTGGTTTTATACAGAGCTAGTAAACACCTGCGTTTTTCAGAACTCTGTGTAGTTCCAAGTAATAGGTTTAGTTGGTTGGGGTCTTTTTTACTTCAAAGAAGTTGTGACTTTCTTTTAAATAAACTGTGCGTTTATTTCCTCTTCCAGACTTTCTAGTCAGGGTAGAAATAGAAAGTGGAACTTTCTTTCCTGTACCTGCTTTAAAATACCAAGTTACGTGTCTTATTTTTGTACTGCTGCTTTACAGGGATCGCTGTGAACTCATATTGTTATCTCAAGATACTTTATTACTGTTAGTGGTAATAACAGATGAGCAGAATTCAAAGAAGCAAGCAGGAAGGAGTTTCTAAATGTTGAAAGTTAATTTCCTTAGTGTACTCGACAACTTTCCATCATTAAACTTTACAGCTTCTCCTGGAGAGAAAATTTGTTTCACTGGCTGTTTCTCTGTGGATGTTACAATACAGCATGAGAACAGAAAACACATCCTAAAAACAGAAAAGTATGAGAATAACACCCAAGAAACTGGCAAAGAGCAGAGGCAGGTGTAGTGCCCAAAACAACCTTTAAATTTTGAAAATTAAAAAAATAAAAAAGCTGATCTTTGAAGTTGACAGCCCCTTTAAAGAGCATGAAAAATTTTAACACCTTCAGTTTGAAAGTGCTTTCGCATTTTAGGAATAGCTCAAATCAAAATACCTATCAGCCAGCTGCAAGGAATGGCGAACACAAGCTTTAGTCTGCCTCTTTCTGATGGTTCCTTGAATTCAAACTACCCAAGCCTGATGGAGGATCAAAGCAAGCGGAAGAAATGAAATTTACTGTGCTCACACCTGAGAATCATTCTCGGCTTTTTTTTTCTGAAGGTAACAATTTCTTGTCTTAATGCTGTCTGACTTGGAGGGCTTTCTGATCTGTACAAACACAAAATACCTTTCCAGATTAATGGGTTTTGTACCTGTCTTATCTGGAACAAGCATTCCATCAGCCATGTCTTCAGTTTTCCAAGTATCTTTATTACAGCCGATACACAGCTTTGGCTGTCTACAACCTATACTGGGAGCTTCAACATCTGGACACCTTCCAGCATCAGTCTGACACATACCTGTAAGAAACGAACCATCTGGCTAAAGATTACAACCATCTGCTCTCAGGTAAATGACTTGTTAGTCTTATTTCTATTGTAAAAGCTGCAAAAGGGAGAAAAAAAAAATACAGCAACGGAGGTAACAGATAATTTTAAGCTAACGTTTAATAGAATAAATGCTGTACAATCTCAAGAGAATCTTTGTTCAGAACGCTTATCTTTTCCTTCCTAACGTGCTGTGTTTAAATACTGTAAAATCCCAACATTTAATTTCTAAGCCTGAAGGCAGGGACAGGCAATGCTAATGTATTTTCTAGTAGAGCTTAACTATGGGTAACTCTGGTGCCAAAAAACTAATCCAAAATTAGAAAAAAAATAGTCCTTAGGGCCTGGCTGAGCAGTTTCTGAAGCAGTCTGCTTGTATGAACACTTACTACCAGGAGAGGATAGCTTTGTGAAGTGAAAGACGGATCCTTCTTCTGCCTAAACGCAGTAGCTAGAGAATTGCCTTATAGAGATCTTTCAGATACCTCATAACAAGCACAGAAGTACTTTGTACTCATTTCTACCTCCTCATATCGAGTTCAGATACAGCATTACAGAAAAAATAATTAAACCAGTCCTCACCATTGCTGTCTATGTGTCCGTTCGGCTGTGGGTTATCTACTCTGACAACTGCTTCCTGCCGGTCAGAAAGAGTCCCTTGTGAAGACAAGTAGCTTGGCACGTCAGGAGGCACAATAGTCTCATCTAGAGCAATGGGAGCAGAGAAACGTCAGTTCCTACTAAGATATAAAGGCTTCTGTTTTCAAAGGCATGTAAAATCACATTTTCAAGAGGGATTTGGGACCAGATCTGTAACTGGTATTTTCTGTAGATGCAATGGAAACTGAACTGCCTAAATACTCCATTCCCCTCGGAAGCCCTAGTCTTGAATTTTCGAAGCTTCAAGCTGTGACATACAGTGCCGGTAAAGCCGTTTCGAGTGTTTGCATTTGGCACGGTCAGTACAAGGTACGTGGAGGTGGAACTGTCACTTCAAAACAAGTAAATCCTTCCTTTTCCCCTGAAATTCAGAGTACCTCATTTGACTCAAAGTCCTCTGTCTCCCAAAGTCATGAGTAAAAGAATTCTGGAGAACGGGGTCTTTGATTCAGTTAAGCTGGCAAGTAAATCTAAGCCCCTTAGCTATCCTTGGCTTTCTCCATTTTATATCAGGTAATTTCAGTTTCTCTTGTCACACAAAAACAAGTGAAACTCAATCATGCTAGGCATGAAGCCCGAGATTTTCAGGACTGAAAAAAAAGAGGAGGGGGGGCAGAATCCCACTGACACATCACACTGGTCATATGGTATCCAAAACTTCCTACCTAGCCTGTGTCTTTAAAATCCTACGTCGCATTACATCTAAAGCTAAGCATAATATAGGAAGGCTGCAAATCCCAGCAGGGTGGGGAAGCCTTAGGCTGGTTCTTCCAGAGACTTCTGTTCAAAGACTGCATAACATTGAAGGCAGGACAGTTTATTATCACTGCAACACTTCAGCACCAAAGTACCCCTTTTGGATACCAAGAGGAGGCAATAAACACTACTTCTTCCTCTAAAAAGAGAGGGATACCCCTCATCAGCAGGGCTACAACAGCTCTCACAGGCAACTTGAAAAAGGGATTCCAGCATGAATTTTTCAAGTTTTGAATACAAAGTCTTTGCAAGTACAGATTCCCAAGAAGTAAGACAGGTTCCCAGCATCATGGACATAATCCAGGCTGTCTCAAGAGTTATCATTTATGGTCATGGAAAATCAAAGTAGCAAAGCAACCTCTGAAACTACTGCCAAGTGGAAAAGACCTTTCTGAAGAGCAAGCCAAGAGGGGAAATGCAGCTCTGAACATGCTTCAACAGCACATGAAAGCTGGTTCCAGCTTTGTGAGCCAAAAGAACCACTGAGATAAGCCAACTGCTTTTCCAGTGTGATTGTGTGGCTACCTGACATGCGGATGCAGCCTCAGTGGGAAGTCCAACAGCACAAAAGGTTAGAGGAAGCCTTAGCAGGAGTTCAGAGCTACCTGTGTTAGTGACGCTGTATTCTTCACTCTTTTTCCTGGTTTGGTAGATGATGCAGACCCAGACCAGAGACGTCAGCACGATGCTACACACCACGGCAATGGTGATGATCCCCACAGTGGTACGGTCCTTCCTACAGCTGAGAGACTGTAAGATGCTCACATGGCTGTGGGCGCGCTCCGTCCCCAGAGTGTTGGACATCTCACAAGTATATTTCCCAGCATCCTCCAAGACAACGTTCCTAACGATCAGCAGCTGGTTGCCAGAGGTAAAGTGATGCCTTTCTGTCACAATGAGGGGCTGGTCACCTTTCAGCCAGGTAATGCGGGGAGATGGGCTCCCTGTGGCTTTGCACTGAAGAGCCACAGTCTCACCTACAGACACTACGTGGTCTTCCAGTGGATGAATCAAAGACGGTGTCTCTGCAGAAGAATAAACACAGAAATTAATTCCTGGGGACAATGTAACAACAGATTTCTTTTAACAGTATTGAATGTAACTGATGTTCCTGCAAACAAATACACAGCAACGCACTACACAGCCATGTGCCCAGGAGCATATGGCAGCTGCGAACCACAACAGATCTACCAATCACAACCAAGGCCTTCACATAACCAGTTGGCTTTAGTCTTCCCAACAAAGAAACCCCCGAGGACAAGGGGCAACGGCTGACACTCATGAATTATTTTGTAGGGCAAGAGAGATGGAGTCCAATTCCCTTTTGAAGTAATTTTCCCAGACAGCAAACAGGTGGTTGGAGGGGCTTCCTTGGCACAAGAGGAAGTGAGACTTACAGCGCCTTCTCTCAATTAGCAGGGTATTTGTCATTAGTTAACTACAGTGTAAAAGAATGAAACAAGACTAATGCAGAGCACTGCCTCTTTGTCCGTTTTCTGTATCTGCAACTGCTGAACAGCCTGAACAGCAATCCCTTCCAGTTCCCACTTCCAGACCACTTGGTCTCTTGAGGCACTAACGCATCTTACCCAGGACAGTCAGTGTGGCATTTGCAAGCACAGACCCTGCAGAGTTCTGTGCCGTGCAGCTGTAGACACCCATGTCTTCTATCTTCACGTCCGTAATGAAGAAGACATCATCGTCAGGCATGACATGCATGCGGCGTTCTCGGGCCGCAGGGAAGTCCGTGCCCCCATCCTTCTGCCAGGCAATTTGTGGGGTGGGGTGTCCTTCAGCTGCACAGTCCAGCCGTGCCGTTGTCCCTGTCCGGCTGGTGACGTTGTGGGGAGTTTTGATAAATGAGGGCAACACTGATAAAGAAAAACAAGAAAAAACGATGAGCAATTCCATGGGGAAAACACCATCTTCTGGGCAGTTCTGTTTTCCTTCCTAGGCAGGAGATTAATATGGTAATTACCCATAGGCAAAAGGATGGCAATCCGCTTTCGTAGGACGTATCTAAACTGCTGTGGACTCACCCTGTGTTTCTACGGCACATACCTGTCTGCAGTATCCAAGACCCCCCTCCACTCAGCATCATTAGAGCTGGGATTAAAGCTAATTTTCTTCTGCAATTAACCTGGAAAGAAACCCCATTATCTCTCCTACAGAGAACTTTCAATCACTACAGTCCCTCTTCTTTGTATCCTTTTGTATTTTCATTGTCATTTGCCCATTTCATTGGGCAAAGAATCTACCGGAACAGCCAAAGAGAGGCAGCTAAAGCCGTTAAGAACATGCTGACGTGCTTGGCTGGACGGCAGCCAGCACAAGCCTGGCTTGTGCTCCTCACAAGGCACTTCTCAGCATCCACTGAGATGCAAGCAGCTGGCGTGAAGAGATTAAGAGCTCCTCCCTATCAGGAATGGACACTCAGGAGTCACTGCCTGCCAAAAGTGGGTTCCAGAGAATAGTACCAGCTAAGGCTGAGGAAAGGAATGAGAAAGCAGCTTCCTACTCACCATTAACAGTGAGCCGGGCCTTGTTGGAGTAGGTAGAGCCAAAGTGGTTGGTGATGATACACTGGTAACGCCCTTCGTGGGCAAAGGTGACATGCCGGAGGTGCAGAATGGTGGTGTACTCCATCACCTCACCATCCTTTGCCCGCACATGGGCAAAGTTCTTGATCTCGGCATTGTGCAGCATCTCGTTGTCTTTCTTCCATGCAAACATCATGGGGGAGCTGCTACTGCTAGCGGCCGAGCAAGTGAAACGGATATCCTTCCCAAGGACAGCCACTGTTGTCTCGGGCTGGATGATGATCTGCGGCTTGGGGAAATCATCTAAGAGAAAACAGCAGGCATAGTTAGTTCTGGACTATGAGGAAAGACTGGAGCAAGCAAAGAGATGCAATGAGAAATGAGTAGTGAAAGATTATTGCATCCACCGTTGTCTACACCAGGAAAGCAACTTGCTCTTGCAAAGAACTCCACCATCGAGACTGGCTCTGCAGTGCAGACGTGCCATACCCAACTCCACTGAGTGGGTGCTCTACACTAGGACTCTCATTCCTCTGGTTCCTTCTGTTATCAGTGGACTGAGGTGGTCGCTTAGTGACCTCAAACACCTACAAGATGCCTAGCTCTCTTCACCAATGTAGCTGAACCTCAGAAAGATACTATGGTCCAAAGAAAATGTCCTTCCTTGTACAACCCATGCATGAAGAGCAGTACTGTACTTAAAACTTCACCTCCAGGTCTGCATTAGCATGAAGCAAGAGGACACTTAAAAGGGCTGCAAATGCCACCTCTAGGGATAAATGCTCACGGTCAAGGTGACTGCAGCACGCACTGTCAAAGCAGCAGCAGCTGGATTTCTGTATTTGCCTGTCACCTGTCTGGGGTGGAAAGCCTTGCACGCTCTCTCTCTCTGCCCTAAAGATTGTTGGTTTTAGCAAGGTTCCAAGCAGATTCATTTATTAGATTTCTGCAAATGGTGTAATTTAATATTTGACTACACTTTAATTAAACAACCAGGCCTCTGGAACCAGGAGTATTAGTGCCTGGAGGACTTGGCAGGCACCAGAGAAGCAAAGCTGTCTTCGCTTCGTGATGTTGCTGTGGGGATGGAGTCTTCATGATCTCTCCTTCCAGATGAACGCAGCAAGCCTCCCAGACTCGCTCAGAGGCCACCTACGCAGAGCCCTACCACTCTGGGATGAAGAGGGACATGGGACAGCAGCTGGACGGAAGCTTTTGCTCCGTGTTGAATGCAAGTCATGCATTCAACTTAGTTAAATAGTGTTTTCAAAAGCTCATTTTTCCTTCATCAAACAGCCATGTGCAGCTCCACCCAGGACCCACACTGGCTGGCTCCACAGCACAGGGTTTGGCTCACCAAGCCAGGCCTTTATTTTGCTCAAAGGCTGGATGCACGAGCAGCATCACTTTGGCCTCCTCCGATCATTTACATTTCTCTTCTTTACGAGAGAGGTAGTAGATGTTTGTGTATGCTGGGTATTAAGTAAAGCTGCTTTGCAACCACAGCTCGGGTGCAGTCAACTGCAGTGTTTGGGTGGAAGAACAGCAGTAGATGCTGTTTAGCAGAAAAAACAACCGTAAGAGAAAAAAAGATGATAATGCAACTGTTAGCTGTCGAATGGTTCATGTGTAATGCCTTACTGGCCCAAAAAGAGGAGCTGTGATGGAGAGATTCTCCTCTGCTTTTTTTTTTTAACCCTTTGTTATCTCCAAGAGAGAGAAAAGATGAGTGAAGAACACAAAGCCACAGAAGAAGCTCAGAACACTGCAGTGTGAAAAAAATTATAGCTGCAGTCTTGGTAGTATCAAACCGCGAGGACTAGGGAAGTCTCTGTGCAGCCCCATCTGGAACTGGAACGAGCCTTAGTCCCGTTTGATTTAATACTTGGGGAGCCCTGTAAGGAATACACTAGATGCAAGCAATGCGCTATGTGGTTTTGGTGGGAAATAAATTGTAGCCAATGACAAATTTTTAAAATGCAGGCTTGGGCTGCCTTTGATCCCATTGAATAACAAAACAAAACAGAAACCCTCTCATAATAACATGCTAGTAGTCAAAGAAAATGTTTCCCAAGTGAGTCCTCCCCTTCATACAACCTCAAAACACACAGGCAAGACTTACCACACACAAAACTTTCTGGCAGGATGGCAAAAATGCTCTTGCTTTTTAGTGACTCAGGATGGGCGCAGGTGGCCACCACAAAGGATTGCAGCTCTTTCTCAACTAACCACTGGGGCAACCATTTCAGCTGGCAATCGCAGAGGAAGCTGTCGCTGTTTATGTGGCTGCAGGGAAACAAAACCAACACGAGCCTGCTGTGAGTCCTGCACAGAGAGAAGGCTGGAAAGCTCACAGCCCTTTCATGTTAGACACATTCCTACCTCCCGCCCAGCATGGGTGGAAGGAAAAAACAGGACTGCAGGGTTGTCTTCGAGGCACTAATGATGTTAAATACGTAACACATTTGAAGAGCATTTCATCTCCACATAGAGCAACCCACTGCTGTACTCCAATGACACTTCCTAGTGCCTTATATTTATTAACCAGCTTCCAGAGCGATCCCCAGGAACAGATGAGCAATGCCATCCCTGGCTTAAGTGAGAGAAACTGAGGCAGATCATCTACAAAGGAGACACACAGTGGAGGCACAAGTCAAGAGGACAGCCCATCCTGCTCCCATTTCTCGTATCTAATTACCGCACATGCTCCTTCTCTGCCTCTGTGGTCTGAGCATCTTTGGTGCGGACTGAATTCAGGACTTAATTACTGAACAGTGAGAGGATGCCAAGTTCCCACTGTAAGACCTTTAGTCCCCTCAGTGGCCAACACCAGAGGAGTAAGTGGAGGAGTAAGGTACATGTTCACACACCAGCATCACCAGGGATAAGAGGTGTAGCTGATGTTGTGTTTACTGATTAACAGAAGCAGTGGAAAAGAAATTACTGAAGATGTTTGTGTAAACCCAATACAAACAGTGACTAGTTTGGAAAGCAAAACACAGAATCATTTCTCAGCATCCTTAACAGGAACTTAGCACCTTCTGTTAAGAAAAGAGCTGTGAAAAAGGGGCAAATAAAAGGGAAGCCTCAGGATTATTTTTTTAAAATATTCTGGGCCAAACTGCAGCTCAGCATATCTCTGAGACCAGTGAAGAACTGCAAGTTTACACCAGGGAATTCAGACTTTGGTCTGGTTTGGTCCAAGATCCTAGGAAAACCCAGTCTGAGCCCTCAAATCGAATGTGAGGATGCCTCAGAGACTGGGAAAACGGCCCCAGACAGGGGTGTCCTGTCCTGCAATATTGCAAGTTCTCCAAGAGCAGGATATCAAGCGCACAGCAGAATCCCAACTGCAGCACTGTGTGGTAGGAAGATGTGAAACTCCTCCACTTTTTCTACCTGATAACCTCGGGAAATCCTGAAGTCTGAAACTAGCCAGGAAAGGGGAAAAGAGAGAAATGGACTGGAGGGGGAGGGAATGAGGGAACATAGGGATCTGATTTTCCAAAGTTGTCCACTTTGCTGTACTAGAAAGATGCGTAGCCCCTGATACACACGATGGCATAAACACTGCTGGCTAGCTGGGCCAGGTCACAGACACCCTTAGTATTTAAGACTTCAGTACAATGCATTCTGCAGGTCTATGTCCCCTATCTGAAAGCCACTTTCTCTATGGTATAAAGGTTCCTTCACAATATCTGGGATCCCACAAGCTCTTCTCTAATAAGATCAATCTTTTGTCTTGATTTTGTTTCAAGAACAAGTGCAAAACATAAGGTGGTTAAATGAACAATGGACATGCAATGTCTATCTTATTCATTCCCCAGTCACTGGTATTAAATGTCATTGCTAACAGTGACCATCTGATTCCCATTTCCAACATCAGGAAGAAGAATCTAAACATGCCCAAATACCAACTAAGTGATTTCTTGTTCCATAGACATTGCACTACTCCAGAAAGTAGCAATGCACTGACAGTAGATTAAATATTTATGGAGGAGAGAAAAGGAAACCAGGCAAGACTGGAAACAGTGTCTGATAACAGTACAGAGCCCCAGCCTGGAGCACAGGCAGCAGCTCTGATAACACATCTGTATTTTTACACCAGAAGGCTGGATGATGACAAGTGGATCCAGTTCAAATGGTGCTTATCACTGAAATGTCAGTACTGTATGCAAACCCTAAACATAGGTACAGCAAAGGAGCAGATGGGCCATGGGGAATTAAATCAGTGGCAGTGTGAGAAGGAGAGACGGCTAACAGGACCAAGGCTGGACTTCCTGAGCGGAGATGAATAATTGCACAGATGCGAACCTGCTGGAAGAACCTGTTCCGATGATCTAATTTCACTCACTATTAAATGCAAGATGTTCCCGTGACATCTACTCGTGTGTAAAAATACCCTACAGAGGAGGACAGAGGGTAGGAGGAAATAAATGAGTGGTAATGCAGATAACACCCCGTTGGAAACAACGTGCTAATTCTCACGTCCAAGGCAAGAAGGATCCCTGCCTCCATAATGGTGTGTACAGTCCAATTACTTACAGCTGCCGCAGGCTCTTCATCTTAGCAAAAGCATCTGCTTGAATCGAGCGGATGGCGTTATCCCCAAGGTTCCTGCAGAACACAACCAAAGGCAATGTGAACAAAAGAGATGCTATGGCTGTGACAAAGTCTCGCCCACATTTAAGCAATAACTCCAGTTGCAGCTGATTTGGTAACTCCTTGTTAAGGCCATAGGCACTTGCAGCTCATAGAAATGGTTTTCCACAAAATGCTTTAATATTGAATAAGTATTGCCAAATAATAGTCAACCAACAAAAATTATGGGACCAAATCACTAAGTCATTCCATATGGCATCTTCTCACTGCACTTCCACAATCTCGGCTACCTCCATCATCCATAGCTTAGAAATTCCTCAGCCCCCTCAATAACCAAAGATAGTCAGGAATGTCGTATCCCAGGCCAGACCTTCAGCAAACATAAAGAAAGCAAATACTTGCACTAAACGGCATCTGAGAAGTTATTTGAAAGTCACTTTGAGAGGATACATTGTTTGAAAAACAATGCAATGTTTCCAAAAGAAGGTATTCTTAAAAGCTTCCCTCACAACTATTGCCAAATAAAAAATTCACTTGTCCTCTGAAAAAGGATAGTGTCAGATTTAGGGCTTAAGTTTACTAAGTGAAGTGTGGACTGAGAAGCACTGCTTGCAGAGGAAAAATCTCAGCAGAGCATTAATAAGGGAATCTTTATCTGGGAAAGTACCCCCCGAGTCAGGCAGCCCTAACCCTTCAGTATGCTCTCAATGGTCGTAACACTTCGTACAATCAACAGTCAATAAAACATCTAGAGCAAAATCACATATACTTAATTCAGAAAGGAAGTTATTCATGAATCACTGCTGGAGTCATCAGCCTTGGGACACAAAAAAAAAAAAAATAATTACATAGCGGCAGCCAAAACTTCCTTCTTGCAAATCGCTCTAAGGCAGTTGTGCTGAATGGGGATGTTTGGTGCCTGCATCGTAAGCAGTCGTCTGCAACGTGTGTCACTGCCAGAGCTGAGATTTAGGAGGAAGTTGGGGCAAGGGAGGAGGAGAGAGCGCTACATCTGAAATAGCATATTTTCATTGCTAACAGCTTACAAAGAAGCAATATGCAAGTCAAGGCGATATTTATCCAAGAACAAATAAAAAAATTAAGAGCATGCAGATTTGCCATATGTTCTATAACTTTGTTCCTGGCACAAAAAAAGGCCAAAGTTGAGGCGGACTTATAATGAGAAGGAAGCAGGTGGCCCCCACAAATGGACTGGCTTCTCAGTTTACAAAGACACTATTAAATTGCTAGCAGATCTCTCAAGCAGCTACTTTTGGCAGACCCCCCTTCCCAAACTCTGAGGCATGGTGGGTTACTCACAGGTGCTCCAGGGCCTCCAACCCTGAGAACGCTTTCTTGGCCACCGACTTGATCTTGTTTCCAAATAGAGTTCTGCAGTTTCCAAACATCCAGTGCCAGATAAACAGAAAGAAAATGGGGAGAGGGGAGCAGAAAAAGAAGGAACAATTAGCGTGGCTTTATCTGATATACCCGCTCAGTGTAAGTCCCAGGAAATCTGAACTACACAGAGAGTAAGAGGGCTGAAGTATACTTGCTTTCCTGCCCCGAAATTAAATCCTTTTATCTGTATTCAAATTTAACAGTGCTGACAGCACAAAAGGGAATGTACCATATCACATAAAAAGGCAGGTTTGCTCCAGTGCTTAGAAACCAGCTTGCTGAGTAATAGAAGGTCCCCTCTATTCTTTGCAGGCTGGCTGTGGACAGGAGTAAGTGCAATGACAGTTTAACAAGATTTTGGTCTCTCCCTGCAGCACTTTTCATTTCTGACTTCTTCCCAGATAGTAAAAGAGAGGTAATTTGTTCACTGCTGCTTGGCCTGAACGGACATCCAAACACAAGGGCTGAGGGCTGTCTCTTGGCTGCACGTTTACACAGCCACTAACTGAAGTGACTGCTCACTTCCTTCCTTGGCTTATTATAAATACAACAGCAAAGAATATAATGCAATAAATAATAGCTGAGTGGTAATTTCAAGGGGCGAAAGGAGGAAGAAAAAAGGTAATGTGCAGAGCTGAGGAGCATGCTTGCTTGCATCTGTGACCAGAGAGCACTCCTCCGAAGCAGCAGACAGTACTACACAGTGGCAAGAAGGGGACTATCAGCAGGCAACAGCCAGCTGGAGCGATCACAGCCCAGCTGCTATCTGCAAAGTAACAGTTCTCTATAAATATTGACCAGTGGTGATCAGTCAGGGGCAGGGTTCAGGCAAAATGGATAGTCTCCTCACCTGTCTTAATAAAACATCAAACAATGTCATTAATTAGGAAATGCTTTCCTTCCCCAGGTTCTCTCTGTCTAAGGTTTATCTTCCAGGTGCATCTTTCATCACCACCTGCTTCACATGGTGTCCAATGCGAGTCGTCACTAACACCTCAGGTAAACTGGCACATCTGGTGCTGCATTTGATTGAGTTTTCCTTCAAGATTTTTCCTTCAATATAGGGCGCAATCTATACCTGCACCCTAAAAGGCTCTAAAACTATGATGGTCCCACTGCTTGCTACTGGCTCGGGAAAGGAGGCTGGAGTAGAAGATGAAGTATGTGCAGCCATTACATGAGCAAATACATTTGCAGGAGCTTGTTAGGGCTTTCCGCAAAGCACCCTTCAAATGTCAGGATAATTTGGTGTCTCAACACTGGCACCCAGAGAGCCCAGTTTCTGTGTGGATGAAGCAGTGGATGCCACAACAGGTGGAAAGGAAAATTGTGGCTCATCACGCTGTTATGACAGTGAGGACTGAGACTGTATCACAGTCTGTCCTTGCAGCCTGTTGTCTTTGGAGGAAAACTGGGTGCTGGCCACTGGGCAACACTATGACCCCGAGTAGGTCCTCACAAAATCAATCACCCTGATGGTGGTATTGCCGGATAAGCCACCACTCTAAGCCTTGAGTAGATAGGAAAGGCCATTTACTCCTAGCTCCATACAAAAGGTCTGTGGCCTCAGAATCACAAATCTTACCATTCTAGAGCAAAACACAACCAAAAGCTTCAGTTTCAGGCAAAGCCACCTCTCATCCTCCACAGTGAGACACAAGCTTGAAGCCCTTTCTTATGCACAGAGTTAACTTGGTACAAAACCATAGCTGAATCTTCAGAGCAGTGTCCCTTTGTTAATTATTTGAAGCGAGAATAAAGAGAGCTATCATAGGCATGCTGGTAGCAGATTAAAAGCTCCAGATAGCTGCAACCTGCTTTATCAACATTATCATTCTAAATATCTACAGCCAGCTTTAGTGGCTTGTTACAGCACCAAAACCAGGGTACCAGAGGTGCTATTTATTGCCTGAGTGTGTGTGGCTTTTTGCTCTGGGTGAAATCCCCCAAGCACCAAAGGATGTGTGCAATCAAGCGTACCATCATTTGGTAAAAGGGATGTTGTATTAATGAAGGCTTTGAAAAAAACATTAGAACGATTAATATAGTAAATAATTTACTATATGCAAACTCTGGTCATATGGCTGCACCCATACACACTAATTTCTGGAGCCGTACTCCTAAATGAGGGTGTTGTGCTAAGCTTGGGTTTGATAACTGGAGATTTCTATTTATCGTTCATAGTGAATCTTGGACTTTGAAAATTGGAGATACTGATTACATCTGTTTACTTATCTGTGCAGAGATAAGCAGTATGTCTGGGGATGTGAATACACAACGTATACACCACTTGGCTCACACAAGTTTACGGCTATATACATGAGAAATACATAGCACACTGGTAATAAAGCCATGCCCCAGCAAACTCATTAAAATCTTTCTGCTTTTCAAATTTCAGCTAACCACTTCTCCAATTCTGAAATGGTTTGAACCCAGCGGCCCCCTTCAAAGGGCTGTGGCATGCTGGAATGCAAACGCGGCGGTATGCAGCTCCACAATTAGCCTGCCTGCTGCAGTCCACAAACGCTCCTCCACTGTCGGCAGAGCTAGGCGCAAGCGTGCTCTCCTGGTGATTGCATAAGTGTAATTACACGCTAGGCACGCAATTCATTAGAAAGCAGCATTTTCTCCTCCAGCCAGTTTTGCACCTGCAGGAAGATCTCACTCACTGAGTGAGCCATCAAAAAACCGGTTACATTTAGCAGCTTGAATAATTAGGAAACTCCTTGCTCCCCAGCGATTCCACTGATGCTTTTTATGCTTCGGTGCTTCTCAAGTCCCTCTTTCTTGAAGCAACATTTTAATTTAGGCCTCTGCTCTCCATCCTGGAGAGCTTCATATATAATTCACAGAAGGCTAAAGTGACTGGCCTCCCCACCTCTCAGTTTAACACCTTCATTTCAGTGAACAACCCGCTCTGTGCTAAATCCTTTCAGAGGCTAATCTTTGCCAGATCAAAGGGATTGCTTTTAAGGCAATCTCCACAGAGCTGAGGTGATTATTAATTCATTGGAAGGTCTCCTCTGAAGTGCCCATTTATTTTTTGTATGCTAATGCAGTTAAAGCTGGTTGACGGTTTAAACACAGGCCCTAAATCATGCAGTGAAATGTTTGCTGTAAAGGCTGATATTTTATTTACAAAAAAATCCTGCCAGCAAGAATGATACTCAATTCATCCTTAGACAAAACTGCAAGTTTGGGATTTACGTGCTGATGAGCTAAAACAAACCTGAGCAGATCTCTTTAAAAGTGACCACTCCCAAGTGTCCCCAAAATACTTCAGGAAATATAATGAAATAATCTCATATTTTGAGGGGTTTTCTAGCCTTACTCTCTGGCTGACAATGAATGACCCCAGCAACCTGTCTGTGTCACAGCAGGTTTGCTGTTTGGTAATCAAACCACTCCTGTCTGCCTGGGACCAACCTGATCCACATGCTCTTCCAGGCTATGGAATTTGCTGCAATCCCCCGCCCCAAACCACAGGCACATCCCCATCCTTGTGTTCAACAGGACTCAGAACTGGCCCGAGCCCGTGTGCAATGAAAGACAGAGGTCCACAATGTGAAAAAAGATGCAAACCCAGGTTCTTTAGCCTTGCACAAACCCTTCCCGCATCCTCTGCTACTGGCAGACAAAACTGGTCATCGTTTGAAGCCCTTCCTTGTGCTGGATGATAAATATCAGATCGGGCCATGGCTATTTCACAGCTCTCTGAGCTGCTCTGCCCAAAGCTCCAAACACACAACCCTGCAGGCTGCCTCTGCTCCCTTCCTTCCTCCTCCCGCTCCTTGCCGTACCTCCTGGCCTCTGCCTGACCCCCACAACTCAGCAGCGCTCATTTCTCTTGGTTGCTGAGTCAATTCTTTTACTGAACTCTTCCCCTCAATGCTGTCTCCTCTGGCTTTTCACCTCCCTCCGGTTATCTTTACCCAGCATTTCTAACATATCCAAATCACTTGGGATCACCACTTTTGCTCCTATGCCAGTGGCCATGTTGGAAGGATGCCCTACGGTGGATGTCGCACCAGGACAGCTCTCTCTCTCTCTCTGCTCCTTTCCTCGTCCTTCTCTCCCTTGTCAAAGCAGCACTACAGACTCACAATCCCGCAGCCTGCAAATCCCTCTGGAGAAAGCCTCTGCTCCCGCTACCCTTCTAGCCGCTCACATGGTTTCACTGGTTTCTTCAGACAAACCAAAAACTTCAGCAACAGCAGCGAAGGACTCTCTTACCCACCATATCTGCTCCTCTGCCTTTTTTCTAGCAACTCGTGGGAAGATTCCCTGACTCCATGTGCACAGCAATTCCTACTGACCTCTCTCTCTCCCACACTTCTTCTACCTCCCTGCCTGACTCTCCTGGTCCTTAAGTCCTTCTCTGCCTTCTGCCTCACTTCACTCACAGCTACAACTTCGTTCCCCTCTCCTTGGATCCAGTGACTCCCCTCAACAATGATCAAATGCCATCTATGTCTGTGACTTCAAATTTTTCTTCTCTAAGCATTACATCCGCGCAAATCCTGCCATGGCTCTTCCCACTCCCCCAGGAGTCTCTAATGAGAGCACGACAATATACCGCCTGCCAGGATTCATTCTAGCCATCTGCTATCCATCGAGGTACTTTTACTGCACCTCTGGCTGTGTCATCTCGGCATCAGAGAGAGCGTGATGGGGGGGTGCTGAGAACTTAAACAAAGGCAAGAGGTAATGATTAGAAAGACTCTTGATTTGTCACAAGCCATCAGAGACTTCTCTGACAGGGTTGATTTATAGAGCCGATTTCAAATGGAATACGAACAAGTACAGAGCAATGTGAAAATACTTGCAAGGGCCAAGCAAGCTATAAACATTTGCAAGGCGCATGCTTGCCTTAGGTTTCTTTTTATCTCTTTAAGAGCCTATGCCCCATGGTGCCTTTTATTGTCGCTGCACATGGAAGCAAGCCCAAAAGATCACTCTCAGACAGAGTATCCCACAGAAACGAATCCTGTTTCAATCCTCTGTTGTAACAGGAAATAGGGTGATTTTTCTCTTCTGTTTATTGTTATTTGCTGCCTCAATCAGTGCTTCGCTGAAGACTGCAAGGGGTCTTTTTTGTTGCTGTTTGCTTTTAGAAGCGAGGAACAGTTGTGCTGAATCTTATAGATGAACACAACTGAAGTTTTCTCTCTCCTGTGTCTCTGAACTACAGTATGTGGCACCATCTGTTAATTGCTTTAAAAGGACTATAATCGCCTCATATCTGCTTAGTAGCACAAGTGCTTGAGAACCACATCTGCACTCTTGCAGTGAGCCTGCAAAACTACTATGTCTCAGATTTTCTGTTGATTTTTATCTCACTCCAAAGGGAGGAAGGCTGTGTTGCAGGGGAGAGACCAAGCCCCACACAGGCACAGAACACAACTGTTTTGCAGAACTTCAAACCCAGGGATACTCACAGCTTGCTTAGGTTTTCTAGGCCTGTAAAGGCTCCGTTGGTATCTTCTATTGTGCCCGAGATGTCGTTGTGGTCCAGTTCCCTGGGGAGAGGACAAGAAAGAGCTCATAACCAGTGTCTTAGTCCTAGGCTCATCGTTAAAAACAAATGGAAGAAAGTTTGAGAATCCCACACAAAGATCCTCCCATTTTCTCTTGACAGTTATCAGAAAAAGCAGAGTCCTGCAGCAAAGCAGCACTAATCACTTTTCCTGCACTGACCTATGCTGAGACGGTGCATTCCAAAAACAGCCCTGGCTTTTTCCTAGCTGAAACCCTCTGTTTCTGAGACAGCAGCATGAGCAGATAGCTACTTTTTAACAAGTAGGTTTCAGTCCTTTTCTAATTCTATGCATCCAAAAAGGAGGAAGAAAATAAAGTCCCAAAACTAAACTGAAAGAAACAGCTGTCCTTAAATGCTACTATCATGAATTAAGATAACTTTGGTTATTCCAACCTATACATGTATTTGTCTATAGCTGTATCTTAGGAAGATGATGCGGTGTATTTTCTATGAAGCTGCATTTTTTTCTGGCAATGAACTTGAAAGCTCAACAAAGGAAAGCACCGTGATCCCTACACAAGCCTAACTCTCTGTATAACCACTTCTTTTAAAAAATAAAGACTAAGAATTCCTTTTTCAGAGTTAGCTTCTTTTGGCTTTCAAATTGACCATCAATTACAAGAGTCAAAGAGGTCTGAAGAAAAACAAGCACACAGAACAAACACAGAGATCCACAAAAGCTGTTTAAACAAACTGTTTAAAAATCCTTCCCTCCTAGCTTTAATTCCAGCTAGCAATGAATACCCAGCAACACAGACACAAATTTATCATTTCTAATGTTAAGTAAAAAGAAAGAAAAAATACATAGACTTTGTTGGTTTTGTTACATCAATCTAATTTAAAATCTAGCAGAACCCAACAACAAAGTAAACTTAGCCATCCAGATAACACCCCGGAACTCACAGGTACTTCTTTCACACCTGTTGAAGATTATTATCAGAACATTTCCAGTTTAAAAATATGAAGACCAAAAAAAGAAAAAAAACCAAAGTCTTCTGCATTTTGCAACATTCCAGACACAGGCATCATAGTGTAGCTTCTGGGCTATGCAGCACAAATACATAATAACCCATAAGAAGAGAACAGAAATTTAAAAAATCCCACAGTTTCAATATTGGCATGGTTTTCCTCAGCCGAGATGGAGCTGAGACTTTTGCTCTCAGTACCTAAGCTGGCTGCAGTCTTTGCTTGTTTCTTGGCTTTGGCATGTGTACTAAACGTGTGAAGGGAGATGGCCAAAAGCCACAATTCCTGCTTCTCAGCTGGCTTCAGCGTGAGACCTGAATCTCATGTCCCTGGGGAACCCTGGCCTTAGCCGGCATCATTGTGGATGTCAGGGTGATCTGTGGGTTGGTCTGTGCCAAAGGGATGGATAAAAACTCAACATCCCCGCGGGGTGTGGGCACACATAATGCTGTGGTGGTATAAGAGACAAGTCCAGGAGAGACAATTTGACGTGCTGGCATTTTCACCACTATCTAAGCGGGGTAGGAGCAAATATGTCCTCCTGGAGCTAAGTTTCTGCATTTCCCCTATGGTTGCCAAGCCAATGCCTGTTGTTCTGTTTGTTTAAGGGCAAATCCCTTCTCAGACGTTTCTCCTCTTCAGTTCTACCATAGGCTACTGGTCTTTGGACCAGCAAACCCTTTCCCATGGCAGAGACAGACAAGTGGGAACAGCCTGTAGGAGCTTTGACACACACTTTTATTAATTGACTGCCACACATTGTGTTTTCTTGAAAAAGGAAAAGAAAATGGTATTGCTTGTTCATCCAGAGGCAACTCAAAGGTTTAGTGTTAGAAAGGAGGAATAAAAACCTTTTTAACAAATGAGTGAAAACAGAGAGAGAGAAAAAAAAAAGAGTGGGGTATTTTGGCCTAGCTCTCTTTGTATTCAAACTCCTCTCCCAGCCCCTGTTGCCAATTTCCTATTCTTTCTGGCTGGCTGAGCTTGAATGCTCGCAGCCTTGTTAATCATTGTGCTCTGAGGTCTCTGGGCCTGACCTCTATTTGAATAGCTCCACATTTCAGCAGTTTCACACCCACCAAAGGCTCCCCAACAATAGGCCATAATTAAAGCATGCTCGGGTCTTTTTCACCAGGTGCAGGACCCAATAGGCCTTTCTCTTTATTAAATTAGAGCTCACTCACACACTCCCTCTCCGCCTCCCCCCTCTGCCCTAGACATAAAAGAGGCTCCACATTCACTGCAAGGCAAAGAGAACTACCAGCTCCCCTTCCCCTCCATTTTTCTTTGGAAACCTTTAGTTCCGGTCTTGACAGCTGCCTCAGAGAGGTCCCCTTCTGAATGCCCAGTGGCTGAAAGGCTTTGGCTTAAGTTTTAAAAAAGGAGAAAAAAAGCAAACAAAACCCAAACTCACTTTCCAGTCACTTCCTTCACTGTGAACTTCAATAAAGGAAAGAGTAAGATGCAAAAAGTACTGTAAAGAGGGGAGATCTCTCCGTTCCCATTTCCTTTTAATTACTCGGGCTACAATGAGCTTCTGAAGAGGAATAAAAGTATCAAAGTGTGTTTTTTTTCTTTTGAAGGAAGAATTAAATCGGTCTGCTGAACTCAACCAGCCTGGGAGCAGGACAGTGCTGTAACACAGACTGTGGGAACTTTGTGGTGTCCCAGATGAAGGTGCTGAGCCCGCAGCCTCTGGAGAGATGAGGAGAGAGAGGAGGAGAGCAGCCAGCAGCTCAGCAGGTACAAATCAGGGAGAACAGAGGCAACACAGCTGCAGGAATGGACAATTATGAGAACTGGATTCCCCATCTTTCGACGTTTCTAAGGCAAGCCCAGATGTACTTCAATCTCACGTAGCTCTTGGGTTTAACAGTGCATAATAGCACAATTGTACAGCTGGATTCCCAGAGGAGGTCAGATTGATCTGTCTAATGGTCTCCACTAGCCCTAAAACCTTAGAAGCTGGTATACAGACTAGTAAGCTCATTTCCAGCGCCACTTTTCCAGGATTCATGTTGTGTCAGTGACTTTAAAATAAAAGTCTTTGGTAAATGGCCATAGGCACTACTGGATCATTTTGCAATTTAGTATTAGGGCACATAAAGTTGTCTCTTGATAGCATGGCAACTTTTATGTTGTTCAGGGGTTATCATGAAAATCACAGCAACAGAACATTTCATGACCCAAGTGAGCCCAGTTCTGCATTAAAGAGAAAGACTTCTGGTTACTCTCATGGCACCCGCAGCAGCTTCTTGCTCCCATAGTTGGACCCAAGACTGGGTGAAGCTTCATGTGCTGTTACACTTCTGGTATAAACATATCCCAAGCCCAACCTCTAAATTTCTTGGTTTTGCCATTGTTTTTTTCTTCTTAACACTATCTTAACCCAGAATTTTAAATCTATTATTCAATTAAAAAAAAAAAAAAGTAATAGCATGCAAAAATGCTCAATAGCACATTTAAGAGGATATTTGAATTTCCAGTGTTGTCAGTGGGAGGAAACATTCCCTACTCGTCCTGAGTGCAGAATGAAACTGTCCTTTCCTAAGAATTTCAACCGAAGTCAATATGATAGCAAGAGAAATTCTGCTATTAGCTGAAGGACCGAAACCTCAGGGATTTTTGCTCAGCTGGGCTAGATTCAGGATCCTGTCCTACATTCCTATAATTTTACTCCGGAGCCCTCTACTCGGAAAGCACCCTACCCCACTGAGCAGTCCAACCGCAGTTCTCCTAACTACTCTTAATTAAAAAACACAAGTTCTCTGAAGTTGAGTAACAGGGTAAATGCAGCAGCTGCTGAAGACAACAAAGCAGCACGCAGAGGAATTTGATGCTGAGGTCACAGGCACCCAAAGCAACTGCAAAGCAGAACAGTTTGGCAGAACACAAAATGTGGAGGGAAGATGGGTGCTAGCTGACAAAAGCTGTGAGCAACTTACAGGACACGTAGGTTTTTGAGTCCCTTGAAAGCACCTTCTGCAATATGATTGATGGAATTGTGGCTCAGTCGTAGTACATGCAGTTCCCCAAGGTCTGCCAAGCTTCCTTCATCCAGCCTGGTTAGGTTGTTGTAAGAGAGTATTCTGAGGAGAAAAGAAACAAACACAACAGCCCTTGTCAATCCAACCAGTATTTTCCAAACTCCTCTGTGCCAACCACTGCCTGCCCCCTACAACCACCTTACAAGAGGTGATGTGTACTGGGTGGATATATTAACAGCTTGATTAGGAAAGAAGACTGCAGTCTGCAAATATTCCCACAAGATACCCATGGGGCAGCCTGGATGACCATAAAGGAGGAGGAGGTACCCAGCTCTAGGGAAGTCTTGTGTACAGGCAACAGAGAAGCGCTCCCTCCAGAAGTGAATGAGAGCAATAACTTAAATATGCATGCTGTCAGTTATGGCAGGGATGAGCTACTCTTTCTCCTGTACGGCTAGATTAGGGTCTGGGAGCACCACCCCTCCTCAGTCCCCAGATGTATAGGTAACACTTAGATATCAGTCCTGGTTGTGTTCAATCCTCACTCCCATTTGGACTCCCTCCGAGGCTTACAGGAAAACGCAGGCCCCTCCTTCCCCACGCCCTGTGAGGTGGAGAGTGACGTCAAACAGATGGATTTTGAAGTTCACACACGCTCTTGGCAGAGTTCAGACTTCTGTATTCAGGAGGTGTCTTATCATTCTGCACTTGTGCACAGCAAGCCCCAGGTGTCTGGGTGTGGGTGTCTCCACAGCCTGTTCCACCACAGTTGAGAGCCAAAAGCATTTCACCACAAGGCAATTGAATGTTTCCTTTCATGCGCAGGAAGGAGGTATCTGTTGTAAACCAGCCGCCCTCCCTCCCGCTCCCCTTTGTCAAGGAGTGTACAGCCTGCCTGAAATCTTCTCCACTCACAAGTGACTAATATTGGAGGGTTGTTTTTTTTCCTAGTTTTCCATCCTGTTCTTCCCCTTGCCTGTATTATCTCTGGTTTTGCAGATTTATTTTTTTTTTTAAAGTGCTACTCCTGTTGCAGTTTGGAAGCTGGTAGGAAGAAAGCCGTTTTTCTCTCCCAGCCAGGGAGCAGATGAAGCTTCTGAGATTTGATACTGACAGTAGGCCATGGGAAGCTACAAGCCACTGTGGACACTTCACACACTATGCAACCACCTTCTATGCAAGCAGTAAAGCCACAGCGTTGCTGACGCTGAAGGCCAGCTTGGTTTGTCAAATGAGGGACCTCCTGGGGTAGCAAGAGGCAGAGTCACTCGTCAGTGACCCTCAGCCTGAAACATTCACCCACAGCTCCCTGCTGCGAGTATATTCCTCCTGATCTGTGGAAGTCACTGCAGCTGGGTAAGCCCTGCAGGGCTACTGGCAGGTGAGTGCGGCCAGCAATAGCCTCAGTTTTAAGTTGCCTGCACGCTGACATGTTGGGTATAAAAAGTGGCATTCAGCTACATGCTGCTACTCACATTTTCTCAAGCTTATCTCTTTACAAAGGGCAGTTGTGTAGGATTTTCAAAAATACCATAGTGACCTGGGAGCACAAGTCACTTCAAAAGATGTGAGGCTTTGGACTGCTAAACTTTTCAAAAAGTGGAGTCACGCAGCTTTGAACAAGCACTGAAATCCTTCATTGTACAGACAACAAGGTAAAAAAAAAAAAAATCTCACTAAGTTCCAAAACTCCAAATTCCTCTTCTAGTACTGCCTGTTAATGAGTCTGCTTAAAAATGTGTCTAGGGCTTGCATGAAAGCCACTGCAAAGCCAAAACCTAAGTCAAAACAGACACATACTCTGAAGCACTGAGAGTGTCATTTACTTGGCAAACAAGCTATATTTTAGTTGTGTGAGTGGGCAGAGGGCAAGCTTTGGAAAAAATTCAGCAAAGATTAATGAGTTTGAAGAAGGTATAGGACAACATATTTTCATTCCTAAAGAAGTTGTAGTGTTAGTTATGAAGAACTGGCATCCGGTCAAAATTATGTCCTCACCTGCGATTAAAGAATTTGGCTTTAAAAAAAAAAAAAAGTGTTCAAAAGTAATCCTAAACCTCGCTGAGAAAAAAAATAGTTCCTTTTGATTCTACACAGAAGAGTTCCTGCCACAACTGGTGAAGGCATGTTCCCCTCTGTTCGTTCTGACATCACCTCAAGATGGACAGACAGCAGCAGTATTTAGAGGACTCTCAATGGCCGCAACCAGATGGAAGGTTTCAGGAACTAACGTACCTGGCAGCAGTTTTTGTCAACATGTAAGGGCTCTGCTTCCTGCCAATGGGACAGGCCAATTTGCAAAACAGTATGTTTTCCTCCTCAACAGTTTGGATGAGAAGTTAGCAGGTCTCTGCTGGTTCCCCTACCTTGTCATCTCTCTACCAGTGAGAAATCACTGGAACAAACAAGTGGAAATGTTTGTCTACACAGCCCTTTTGGCCTGGCAAGGAAGTGGGAGAGCAGCACACAGAGCAGCACGCCAGAAGTGACACGTAAAGGGGTTAACCAGAAACATGTTGTGCAGCTGGGGCTCCTGCTGCCAGCCAGTTCTGGACCAGGTACATCTAATGCATTTCATTCCCATCGACCAAACTATAGGTAAAAAGCGAAAAGAAAGACCCAGCAGCCAAGTCACCATTTACCTCTGATGAAATCCTATGCTCCCACTGTGGATTTTTCCATGATGTTGATGCCCTAGCACCTGACTAGTGAATACAATCAGCCCTTTCTCATGCCTATAACAAGTCAAGAGCTCTCTTTGTTAACTTTTCCTTGTTAGCTTTTTCATCAGATCAGCGCCTTGGGGTCACATTTTCTCCCAACAGCTGAAGGAGAGACAACTCATCCTTCAGATTACCACCTCCTTCCCTAGCACAGATAAGCAGGGGTCTGGCCACCTCTCTTTCCTGGGTCAAGGACTTTGACATTCATTCCCTGTACAACCACAGACAGTGTTTTCTGATAAATGAAACCCAGTAGATTTAGCAATAGCGGAGGTGAGGAAAGATCTTTTAATAAGGAATGAAACATATCCATTCAAAGAAGTGCACAGAGGCAGTCTAGATGTATCTAGTGTCTCCTTTCCTCACCCTTCACTTTCAGAGCAGACCTCTCCTACAAGTACTCTTTAGCTGTGGGAGTTTCAGTTAGGACTATCTGATGACTCCTGCGGCAGCCTTACCCTAAAGGCAACACCTGCAAGAGCTTGTAAAATTTTGCAGAGATGTGTGCTAACACCCACATAATCACCTTTCGAATCTCAGCTAACGTCGTCTCTGGCCTGACACTCCAGCACAATCCTGTTTGTCAGGCTGAGCACGCCCCAGTGGCTCCTACCACCTCACACCACCAGGCATTTTCCAAGTCTACCCCATTCTGCACCAGGGCAAGTGAGCCCTGCACTGGGTTTCTGCAGTTACTGCAGAGGATGGCCTCTAAGCCAGGACAGGTCATCATTAGCACTAACTTGCTGGCGAGAGATCCCAATCCATACCTGACAAATAAAGGACTCAGCATGAAGTGCAATCTCCGAGCTAAACCATGAGGGTTTGCAAAGACAGTGTCAGGTAGAAAAGACAAGCATAGTTCTCCCTAAAAGACTTCTTACGTTAGCTCTGCAAGATGCAGATGGGGCTTACCCATCCCATCTGAATGCAGGCTGAAATAAAGCTTCAACACAGGCACCACATATTGCGTCCCTGAGAGCAGAAAGCGCACGGAGCTGTGCTGCTAACACAGTGCACTGATCTGAATTTGGCTATTTCACGGATCCAACTGAGTGCCTTAGGAAGGCAGACTCCCCTGTTTTTGATGCTTCAGATTTAAGCAGACCACATGCAAAGCACAGTGCCAATTCTGATCTGCTACCTTGAGGATTTCTCCATTGACACTGCCTTAACCTAGCAAAATATCACTTGAGGATCTGCATGTGAAGAAACTGCAGCTGTCTGCAGTACTGTGCCAAGAAAAGGAGCCCTTTAGGCATGGGCAGTTTCACAGCAATTTGAAAAATTAGGTAATTAAACAATCACATATGTATTTAACTAAAACAAAAAATAAAATATTTCCTTGTGCCCCCCAAAAATAATTCACATCTGAATGAATAATTTGGGTTCAACAGAAGATCACAGCTGGTCCCTGGGCTAACACATTAATTCCACAGCTTCTAAACTTAAAGGAATGACATGTGTCATGTCCACCTATCTCTGAATCCACATTCCAGAAGACTAGGGACTCACAGCTGGGTAAGCAGATACTGACCTTTAGTCTGAATCCAGAGTGAGGCCTCTGAAAGCAAGAAGCTGCTTTACCATACTGCTTTTTGGTGGATAGGAGAATCTCTGACAATGTTTAACAAGAGATTTCTGAGCATCAAGCAGAATGAATTACAGTTCCGCTAACCACATGTGTGAAGTTCCCCAAAGAAAAAAGTGAATCTTTCCACAGTCCCACCGAGGGGATGACAGCTACTTCTGTAAATACTGCAAGCATCCATGTGTGTCTCTTCAAAAAGGCATTAAGCAGTGCCACAGACCCAAAAGACACCCTTGTGGGGCTGTCCTCAGCAGCAAGGCTTTCTTTCATTTATCAAAGAGAGTGTATTCACAGCTGGAAATCTCAGGAGAGCAAAGTTAATGTATTTACTTTTCAACAACTGAGCCCTACAGGAAGGGTAAAGTGTAAACAGGAGAAACAAGGAGCACTGCCTTTAAAGGGCGAAATCTCTGCTGGTTAAAAATATGATTGTTCTTTGTAAATACAGAGGATAAAGCAAAGCTTCCTTCAGGCTGTACAGTCATTATATGACAAGTTGTGCATGTCTGGTAACTAGCTAGCTAAAAAGCACTGGCAAGCCGCAGATCACAAACTCTCCAGGTCTTTTAGCACTGTACACTTTTAGTGGGTTCTAGTCTTTGTTTCTGGTGCAAACCTATTTCAATCAGATGCTCCGAAGGTTGTAACATCACGAATAACAAGGGCATCACTTCAGAGATTGCAGTTCCTGCATTTCTACAGGTTGATAAAGCAGGAGCTGTAAGCCAAGCGATTGGGAAAAAAATCCTTACTCCCCTTTCCTGCCAACGTTACATTAGCATCAAACCCTGCCCAACCAACCACAGTAGAAACCAACTTACAGCTCATGCAGCTTCTGACAGAAGCTCCAGCCATCTGGATTGATGCGGGATATGGAGTTGTTACTGAGGTGAAGCTGGTGCAGAGATGAAAGGCCATATAGAGAGCCACTATTTACTTCTGTCAGGCTGTTATACTCCAGGTGGCTGTGGAGAAAAATCAGAAGGAATTGACAGATAAGTAGCACTGGTCAAACGCTGAAGAATTTCCAACAAGGATGGGATTCTAACCGTTCCTACACACCTTTCTACATACTCATATGGATATGTGCATGTGTGGGTATTTCTTGTGCAAGCGAAGGACAGAAATTCAAGGGCAACACAAAGGAAATGTGTTGTGAATGAGCTGTGACTGCAGAGGTATGCTCCACTGCAAGTAAACTGGGCTTAAAGCAGCCCATTCAGTTCGCATTTGCAGAGTCTCAGTCGTGTGACAGCAGCGTCCAAAAACGTGCTGCCTTGATCACTTGTAACCCTGCAAATACACTTGAAAGCTAGCCATGTTGGAAGTTTCAAGCATTTCTCTGCAATGACTATCTGTTCTCTCTTATGGAAAGAACACTTCACTGAGATAGGCCAGCTTGGTTTCTAGGTATCCCAAGAGGCAGAATAATAAGGTTTGCAACACAGAGTTTCCATGTATCAGTCAAAACAAATTTGCAGAAGCCAGATGAGCTTTTAAAGACCAATTGAGATCTTATTGAATGTTCAAATCATCAAACTTTCAAAGGAATACCGCCACAGCTTGAAAAACAGGAGTTTTTTATTGAACACCTGGTAAAGCAATGAGCTTTAGTAAACCGTGGGTCAACTCAACAGAAGCTGCTGTAGCATGGCAGAGCTCTGTGCCTGCAGGACATAGAAAGAAGCACGAGGACTGACATAGATGCCCACAGGTCTCTGATGGGAATCCTTGCTAAAAAATGTAGAGAAGGACACGATAGTAGGTGAAGTCTAGGCTGTTTAAGGGAAAAGAGCCCATCTCTCCAACTTACAGAACTTGCATCTTGGCTAGACCCCAGAAAGCCCCATCAGTCAATTTGCTTATGTTGTTGCGCTGGAGTTTCAGGACTTCCAAGCTGTCCAGTCCCTGGAACGTCAGGCCTTCAATCAGGCAGATGCGATTCCGGTTCAGCTCCCTAAAATCACCAAGGCCATACAAGTTTATTAAATCCCAGTCCTTTCTCATGAAATCATCTGTGCAGCATACAATGGGGACAGCAATGCCAACAACTCCTCTGTCAACGGTTCCCAGGAGACAGCAGAAGCACACCGGAAACTTTCAATCCCAGAGCTAGCCAGGGAAGTCAGCTGGGTGTGATCGCTTAAATAAACTCACCCTAGGACAGACTTTCACTATAGAGAAATAACAGAGACAGTGCAGCCATTCCTCTTCATCCCTCCTCTCTCTGCATTTCTTTTAAGCCATTTATCCTTTTCACCAATTTTCACACTTCATCTTCTCGCAAGCAGAGACACCATTTAAACCAATACAGTTAAACATCAGCATTATTTCCCTTACAACCCATTGTTTTTACAGGACTTGTAATTGCCCAGTAAAAATGTGGTCTGAAATAAGCGGGTGCCATAAGAACTGTGAGCCCAAGAGGAAATTTTATGGCTAAGTTTGAAAGGAAAGCTTTCAGTTCCCCTGACAAATTTCACATTTTTTCTTATTATAAGAAACTAATAAAAAGTGAAACAAGTTGTTTCCAATAACAAGGCAGTCTTAGTATTTTCTGTATACAAAGATCTCCAACTTGGTTCATTAAATTTCTTTTTCTCTTTTTGTTTTCCTTCCCTTGGGTGGGGAGGGACTCCTAAATTTTGAGAATACCTTTTTTCTGAATAGGAATATGAACATCATCACAGCATGCTTTACCAACCCATATTAAACAGTCTTATGGATTGCTAGACCCAGACATACCAGGTGAAAACCCAGTTCCATAAAGTCAGTGGAAAACTTCATCAATACAATGCACTAAAGCTGAAGATAGAGCTTTTTAAAATGGATACCCTTCTGCACATACAAGACTAACTAGGGTAGTTCCCTACTCAGGGTTTGTGTTGAAGAAAATGGTGGAGGTTACAACATCAAAACTTGTTTTGGAAAAGATGAGGAAGCCGCAGAAACTTTAAGCTTACTTTTTAACTGCCTAAAAAACCACTGTTGAACTTGCACTCAAGTTGAGTGTAATTAAAGTCAAGTAAGCAATTAAAAAGTTTGCAGCCCTAAAGACTCTTGCCTTACTGCACTTCCTAGGCTATCAGTGAACTACGCTTTGCCAGAAAAAGAACTGTACACAAATTCTACAACACATCAAGTCTGTATAACTTGCAATTCATGCATGTTTATCTATAGGGTTAAACAACCAGCTGTGAGCCTCTCTTTAAGAGTACCAATTACTCCAACTTTCAGTGAAAACTGTGTTCCTGAACAGATTGAGTTAATCCTCATTTTTATTACAGTTATGCACATGATGCAGATGAACACAGTGGATTACAAGCTCTCAGTCTATGGACAGCAACTTCCAGCTGAGGAAACAGACTTTTAAGATGCATATGCTATTTTGTCATACTGTTCAATCCCAAATCGGCTATAGATCCTACATGTATGCAAGCACAAATGCACACGCACTCATTCCTTAGACACAACTTGGCTTAAGAATTTGTCTCTCAATCAAGAGGTTGACATTTAGAGGCAGGAGTTCCAACAGCTTTTGTGGACTTTATGTTAACAGACAGAGGTTGACCTTTTGCCTATCAAATTTGATGGAAAGACTGCAACAGGCCTCAGGCTGGGTCCATTTCTCCAACAGCAGCAGAAGGGAAAAGCCAAACCATTAGTGCTACTATTTTACACATAAAGTATATTTATAGCTGCAGATGTCTACGTGTCCCCATGCAGCTCCTGCCATATGGACCGCAGGCAGGACAACAATGATGTCTGTGTTAACTCATTTAGAATACCATTGTCTCTGCCCAAATATCACTGCATAGTTTAACAACCTTCCGTCACTGCTTTTTTATTGCCACATAACGATACCTGTGTGGTCTCGAAAAACTAACGTGGTAGCTGAGCTCTGTCACTCGCAATAGAAACATCTTCCAAACCTCTCTTGTGCCACAGACACCAGCAGTTTTCAAGGGAATGGATTTGTTTTACACTGTCAATTGCACAAGATGCTAATGTCTGCTGCAGCATCCCTTCCTTCCCACCTGATCAGAAGAACGGCCTCAAAAGCCAATAGTTACAAGACAAAAAGGACTCCCTCCCAATGTGTCTTACTAGGTGCTGGCAGAGGACTACTACATGGTGTATTCTAAGTTTTATAGATAGCGGGTGAGGAAGGGTGACATTTGGTGCATACATCCTCAGCGACATTTTGTCTCCATAAAGCGTGGCTGAGCTTAATTAAAGTGCACATTTCTACTCACAGTTGTATTAGCCTGGGTAGCCTGAACGCCTTGACAGGAAGCTGAGTGATCCTGTTTTTACTCAGACGAAGTGTTAGCAGGGACCGTGACAGACTATCAAAAGCACCAGGCTCCAAGGTGCTGATTCTGTTGCTCCCCAGGTAGCTGCAATAAATCACAGCAGAAAAATGAACAGAAATCAGCATTTAGTTGGTGTCCAGACAGGCTGGCGAAATTACAGAGGTGGTTTCAAATCAGTTGGATTTCTGGCTGCACAAAGAGCACAGTGTCTTTCCCAGAACCACATGATGAACATTGAGAAGTGCTGCGCACTTCCCAAGAGCTTCTTGATACCCTCCTACTTCAGCAAGGCCATTGGGAGTGGAAATAACAAAGTGGAGAATATTCCAGTGCAGCATGACTCTATTCATTCCCCATTCTTCCCTCAGCATCTGTCCCAGGGCTCTTTCTTACTCGGACCCTAGTCTTAGTCACAGAGGCCATTTTTACAGAACAGGCAAACATCAGTCACACCAACACTCTCATATCCTATTACAACCAGGGGCAGAAACTCAGGTGCAAACTTTAATGCAAGCAGATTATCTGCACCTCTTCCAAGGTACCTAAACCACAGATTATTTTATGTCTCCCTGAACAGGCAAACATCTCTATTGGGAGGGTGTTACTCTGCTTAACCCCTGGTTTTCTTCAAATAACCAATGACATATTTCTGTTCTTAACATTCAGTAGCCTCTTTAATGATGAAATAGTCATTCTCCCTTCCCTCTTCCAGATGCCCATGGGCTGATCTTGGAAACAGCATATACACTTCCCACTGGGGAAGAGACACAGGTCTGCTGCAGACAGTTCTCCAGGCTTCTAAGTTTCCAGCTGTAAAGACACCCACACCTGAAGGACACAGGATACCTGTTCTCTGTGGCAACATTCCCATGCAACACAATGAATAATAATCTGCATTCTTTATAGATACATCAGAAAGCAAAAAGACACAGCTCAAAAAATAACCTGACAGCAGAGACAATGTGCTGCATTTTAATTCTCCTTTGTGCCTAAAATCCTGACGAATTACTCCATACTTTGTATGTTCATTCCCTCTCCTGTTTTTTAAAGAAGGTTTGAGGCCCTTTTCTCCACTGTGGTAACTCAACAAAAGCTGTTCCCAACAAAAAAAACTCACAGCTCCTTTATGTGAAGTCCCTGCGGAAAGCAGCCGTTTCGGATTTCCGTGATGTCATTAAAACTCAGGTCCAATGTTTCCAGGGTAACATAGGGCTTCAGCTGACTTGCTTCAATGCTGCGGATCTTGTTGTGATGCCTGAAACAGTCAGGAGGAGAAACGGAGACAATTCAGTTCTCTTAGAAAAACAGAAAGATATCTGAGGCCACAGCAGGCCCACAGGCTGGCCCCTGTGTTCATACACTCAGACTTGCGGTGCTTCTTCAACAGCTGTCCCAGGAGAAACCCACCCCAGAGAGACCTTCCCTAATCCCCATACTGTTGCTATGGCTAGAGAGACTAGCTCACAGATATTTGCAAGCTTCCAGACACTTTTTCTGGTATAGTATAAGACTTTTCCCTCCTACAGAACTACTGACTCCATTTATCAGTTTTCCTTACAGTAATTTGGGCTTAGTCTCCCACTAGCTTGCGCTTCCAGAATGGATTTGTTACATGCAGGGACTGCAGGGCTGGATTTTAATTCTGCAGGCAAGGAGCGCTGATCAAAGGTTTAAGCAACCTGCCGCTGTTTTACACTGAGGATGGGTTTTCCAGAGCAGGAAACAGATAAGTAAATACGAATTGAGCAAAAGTTACAAAACATCGTTTCCTTCTGAAAACTCCCAGCTTTGGACTATGTTACAATGATTTGTAATGCACAGCAATACTGTCAGAGGACTTGCAAACATTCTTGCAAACATTTCCTCATCTTCTGCTACCTTTGTCCCACAGTACAATTAGGACAACTCTGCAGTGCCAGTGCTCTGTCCAAGCACCAGCTGCAGGATTAGACCCTATAACAATTACCTGCATCTTCTGCCTTACCAGTACCAGCCTGAAGAAGCATTCAACCTAATTTTTTTCTTTAGAGAAAGTACTACAAGTTGTCCTCAGGGTTTCTGCAGCCATCGAACAGTTAAATACCTCTAGACCTCATCTGTACTCAACAAGGTCTAACTAAAAATCCCCCAAGTCCTTTCCTCTGACTCCTTTCTGACCTGAATCAGTAGAGAGAACAGCAATCAATTAAAAAAATACATTGTGCATTAGTCACAAGAAGCAGAGCACATGCCTGATGTGAATTTAGACCAGTCACTGATATTACTGGCAAGGCTGAGAGTGAGGCACTCCAAACAGAGACGCTCACCAGACACTTGAGAACTTGCTGAATAATAAAGAGATAGTAGAGAGGGTTCAGACAAGTACTGTGCCTTAATCCGGCTGGCTACCTACTGAGTAACCAGAAGAGGAGACAGCAGCCAGTGAAAGCACTCTTGAATGCAAACCAGGATGTCCCAGCTCTCCCGACAAAGCATCGGCTCTTTGAAACAAAAAACTGATGGATGAGCCGACCACAGCCTTCCAGGCACTGAAGCCGATGGGTGTCTAGGAGCCCGTCTTCTCCAGTCTCACCCCCACTTCAGGCTCTCCCAGGGGTTCAAGACAAGCCCCTTTCAAAGAAAACCTCTCCCCCTAAAAGAAAATACCAATAGCACACGGCAAGGGAACTGCTCCCCGCACTGTGATCTGCTCCTTTACCCTCCCTGTTATTAAAACCAGATTGTTTCACCACTACATTTGCTGGTGTCTGTAACGGGAAGAGGGTGAAAACTGCATCCCCAGCACAATTTCCTTTCTGGAGACTCACCATTTAAACAGCCAGCACATGATCCTCGCTTATACCAGGGAAACATTTCCAGAAATGCCACTTTAACTAAAGAGTTTAAATACTACTTAATTAAGTCAGTGCGGGATCACAAAACATTAAGGACAAATTTTACACCACTATAGCATTGTGCTGCTAATGCGATGCAAAAAGGTGTCAAGAAAATCAAAGAGAAGTCGTAACTTATGCCCCTGAACTGGCTATTCCATGGGTTACAGGCACACAGGTCTCTACAACCACAAATTGTATAAAAGGCAACAATATGGCTACTATCCAAATAACCAATATTCACTTACAGCTAGGAATAAAGACTGAATTTTCATATCCGTGCACATAGTAGAACAGAAGTCCAGTGAATTTATACTATAGTGAGACTAAAATACAGGAAAATTCACCACACCCAGAATTTTGTGACCTCCATAAATTGACCACAGGGGCGAGGAGTATTTCTTTTCCCCAATGACTAGTTTCTTCTGCAATTAATTCGATTAGTAGAATTCAAAAACTTCAATCTTTTTTCCTCCTCGAAAGAAGAGAGTCCGTTAAACATGTGCACGACCCCAATTCAGGAAAGCACCTCAACAGAGACATAAGCAAAAGCAAACCCCGAGCATGTTTTCTGGAGCTCTCCTGAAGCAGGGGCCGTGAGTTCAACTCTGATCTCATCTCGGCTGTGATGGCTGAGATGAATCTGGCCGTAAATTAACAGGAAATGAAGGCTTGTACGAATGAATGTGGAGAATCTATAAATTACCTGACAATCCCTGTGCAGGGCAGCTAAGTCTGCAAGGGACTGAGAGCACAGACTCAGTTTGGACATGAAGTCCTCTTCAGAAGCCAATGTTATTTTTTTTGAGTATTAATATTTCTGCGCTTTAGTTGCTCAACATATATCCAATCTGCCCGCCTGCCAGATCTCCCAGCCCGTCCCAGAAGACAGACTTTAAGGAGGGAAGAAAAGAACAGGAAAGAACTATTTTGTTTGAGCCATGTTTGCAGTTTCCAGGTGACTTCTGTCCGTTTGGCTCTTGCTTTTCATGTGCTACAGCTAGCAGATTAGATGGATGCATTACTTCACACAGGAAAAAAACAGGCTCCTTTCCCTCCCTCTCTCGGTCTCCTTCAAACATGGGCTGACTCTAAATGTAACTCTCAGCTCCAAACACCATTCCTGGCCAGTCCCAGCTGGGGAATGTCAGACAGTTTGCTGCAAAGCACTGCACCCTCTCAAAGCACTGCACTTCAAACAAAACCAGCCCGGCTGACTTTTCCTATACACAGCATGTGATATGAATGCAACATCGTCCAAACCTTTTACTAGCTTGATTACATTTTATTTTTCATTCTTTCAGTAAGAGTTGAAATGCGATTTAACCCTTCTTGTTATTACTTGGATCCTTTCAGCTTGCCTGCCTTTGTTTCCAATCTCATCGCAAGAGTGTTTCACAGAAAAAAAGACCAGCAACACTATGACTTTGCCTCTCCCCTTTCACAGTGACTGGAAAAGGGCTGGATTTTTCCCAACTAGCTCCTTAGTTTATACTCCATTGGCTTCAAAGGCGACAGATCAGGTTTTAGTACCAACTGCAGAAACCAGGCTTTAAAGCACAAATTATCGGTCCTTCCACAACCAATTTGCCTCCAGGAGTCTTTTCCTCTCCCTGCTCCTTAGGTATCACAGCCTAGAAACAGCTTTCCCTGTCTCACTTCAGCCAGCGTTACCTCAGGAGTACACCACGACAGGGCTTCAATGTGAGATTGTGCAATTACAGCCTGGAGTGGGAGCCAAGTCTCTTTATTTTCTATTCCCAGCTCTGGCACTGACTCATCTGTCTTGGGCAAGTTTCTTAACCCCTCTCTACCTCTGCTTTATCAATGTGTATGGGAACGTATTACTGGACTAGGATGATGCAGGACTGCCTTCACTGAGGACTAAGAATTTGAAGTGAAAGCAGCTCAAGTGGAAAAAAAAAAAAAAAAAAAAATCATAGGAACTAAGGAGCCCATCCAAGTCCATTTGGGTTTGCTCATGAATACAGGAGGATCTGGCTAAAACAGTTGAACTTCCCAGTTCATACCCAACCTCATTCCCAGAGACACCTCATTTGCAGCTAATGCAGATCTTGAACTGTAACATCTTAGTGCCAAACTAAGGTAACTCAAAGTCAGCAACGGATTACTTTCACATTCTGAGCCGCATACATATGGCACTTGTTCAGGAACCGCTCCGCCCTTAGGTCAGCACCAGCTACAGCTGCAAAGGGAGAGAGGAGAGCTGAGGGAAGCCATCCCTCCAGCCACCACTGCTTAACCTGCTCACAAACCCCCTGACCCCCAGTTCAACACCCCAAGGTAGCACAGCCTCTTAGCCCTTGCACTTTGCACTGTTCTTGAATAGACCCCTCAGGATTACAGGAGATTTGGATTAACATCAACCAGCTCTTTGCTGAACCAAGACCGTGAGGACCATGTCGGGAAGCAAACGCACGCTCTGGGCTCCTCTGGGCTGCTGCAAGACAGAAAAACAAGCAAAATGTTCCAGCAAAGCCAAAGCATGTTTGGGTTTGCTTTAAGTCAGGAGGGAGCCGAAGAGGGTGGCAGGAAAACAACAGGTGGCCAAAAGTCAAAAGCTTGCAGCATTTCCAGGAATCTCAGCTTGTATTTTAGAGGTAAAGTTACACTTTAATCCCGGTGGGTTTCCTCATTCGAAGCGTCTTTGTGAATATTTATTTGATAACCAGGTTGTGAAGCATTTTCTACTAGACCTAACAGGAGAAGAATTCACCTTCCTCTTTGCAGCAAGCCTGTCCTTTGGAGAACAGTAATCAGTTTAATTTAGACCGTGGCTTCAAACTACTTGTGTGAAATCGATGCAGAGAGCAGCGCAAACACGCTCCTTTGTTGTTCAAGCCACATTCACTTCCCCTCGGCAGCTGCCCATTAGAAAGCTGACAGCGGAAAATCAAAGCAAGCAGACCCTCAGATGGGAATGTACGAGGGGCTTTGGTTGGACTGATTTAAATAGAATCAGCAGAAAACCTCCTGGTTTACACAAAGCTTGAATTAAGGCTGCCTTGGCTGCTGGGAGTCTGCAGCACAAATGTTTGGTGCGAAGCAAGGCTGAAGGCAGGGAGAAGTCACACGCTTGGCCTTCATGTAGTGTCAGCTTACAGATCTGGCTGGGCTTACAAAAAAAAAAAGCAAGCTGTAATACAGCAAACCTATTAAACCAACACCTGTTATAGGCATCAAAAATAAAATCAAGCTTCAAAAGAGAGGCTCTGCACCTCGGGTAGGGTTCTATTAATATACCAGTGCATTTTCAAAATTAGCATATGAGGGAGATCACAAGACTAGAAGCACAGAGATTAGGAAGTTCAGGGTTTGGTTAATATTTCCATACTGGGAAAGTATCGAAGAAACTAAATGC